TTTTTTTTTCTAGATTCAACAGAGGTACAGATAAAGAAATTGGAATGAAGCAATACTACGCCAATAAGGGACACGAAATCAAGTGAAATTTTCTTCTGCATTAGCTTTGTTTTCGAAATGTATGCTGACAGTAAGTGGAAAGTGTACTCACCAGCTGGTCGTAACTCACAGTGTGCTTCCCTATTTGGTTGTTCATACGGTCTTTATGCCTTTGAAGAATGAGGTTTACTGAGCGAGATGGTTTTTTTTTTTTTTGTCAAACTGGACAACTTATTAATTTAGTGACAAATGGCCGGCTGTGGTTTCGAAGTCATCTAAAACTGCTCGATACTATGCAATTGAACGACTAAAAATTGCACTGGGTCAAAAAGTGCGGGGCAGCACGCAAGATATTCAAAAAGAAATGGTAATCCTGTCATCGTCGTTGAACAAAATAAATTTTTTACGGAGTTTTAAGCTTCTGATACATTTTCATGCAGGAATATTGTAAAATTGGGACCTAGATCATGAGTTTTTTGCAGGGTCCTATCAAGAAAGCGAACGAACGTTTTGATGCCATAGATGCACATTTGAAGGCACTTCGCCTCAAAGACACAAAGGATCGAGAAATTAAAAAACGAGTAGTTGTGAGTCAGAATGCATTTTCTCATATTTCTTGCTCATAGCGGCATGGAATTGATCCAGTTTTTGCTTTTTTTTTTCTAACTTTTACATTAAGCTTATTCAGGTACGTGGACGTCGTCGATCACCGCCAGAAATCAGTTATGCTGGGAAGTCAGTAGATGTGATTGACGATACAGTAAGTATGAAATATCGGTATCAGTGCTTCTGAAATTTCATTAGAACTGCGAAATTTGTCCGGCTTATTTAACACTCCATTTCTGCAGACACAGTGGCAAGCTTTTCGGCTACGATACACAGTTGAAGCGAAAATCGATCAATTTTACGCGTTCTACCATGATTGGCGAGACGAGGAAGTCGTTTGGTTAGTCGTACTGCATTTCTACGCTTGCATATTTTCATCTGCTGATTACTCATGCAGTTACTTGTTGCTCCAACCCGTCAGGCTGGATTCGCCGGCATAGCACGATTTGTTCAAAAACGGAGTTACCAAACTCCGTGATAGTTCGCCGTTTTGTTCGCCGTTCTGGCAAGCCAGAGATGAAGCACACGAGGTAAATTTTTTGAAACATTATATAATTATTGAATTTAGCGCGGATTTCAGGGACTTCGCAGAACTTCTGCGAAGAGAGTGTAATACCAGAGGCATTAAACTACCGCCAATTGAGATTGAAAATGTGCCGTTTGAGAGACTGGAAGAAAAGTTCGCCCAAATAAAGAACGCGCCAAAACTTCCATTTGTGATGTATGTGGATTCCAGCAGAGAAAATCACGGTTTGTGCTTTTGCTTAAATTGAAATAAAGAATTTTCATTTATAAATTGGAGTTTTGTAATGAGAAAATTTAGACAAACTGAAGCTGTACGAAATCAGGCATCAAATAATCACGCAACATGTAAGTGCAGCCAACGTTGCCAAAGTGGTAGAATATCAAGGACCAGGCGCTACAATTAGATATAACCCGGATGACATCGAATTTAAAGCTCGAAGAAAAAAAACCAGAAACACCCTGATGAACATCGTGAACAAATTAAACTGCAAAAATTACGGCCAGTGTTATGAAGTGGTTCCCAGAACTTGTCCGTAAGCTTTTCATGCATTTTTACATATTTATGTAAATACAAAAGCATATATTGACGAGGTATTGTCGGTACCGGTGTGTTTCTATATGTTCGGACCCGAGAAACGAGAAAGATGTGAATTATGAACATCCTCGTGTAATCCAAATAACTCAAAAGAATGCAGGGCTTACGCCTAAGCCTTTTAACGAGCGCTTGAAAAATGTAAATTTTTGGCCAGAAACCAATTCGGGAGCCGGACAGGATAGAGAGCTGAAATTACACTGGTATAATCTTTGCTTTTTAACAAGCTAAAGATTTCAAATTCAGCTTTGACGCACTCCTGAAGTCATTCTTATGGAAAAGGAGTTTAAAACACTGCTGAATAAAAAGCGAACTTCGGAATTAGACTGCAAAATCCCGTGGTTTTAAAAAGAGAACGTTTGCTATTTATATGCGCTCTACAAAAATAAAATTAGCTTTCACATATGCCTTAACAAGCATACAATAAAAGTGTCTATATCGAATAGATAGTTTACGAAACTGGACAGGCTAGGAAACTGAAATTAAACGAAAATATGCGCTAGCCATGCGCAATACATTCACGTCTCGCAATAAGCACAAGCAAAGTTTTAGTTTGGGCATTTTTAGAACCCATTAAATTCTGTAGCCGGTCAAAGCATGAAGCCGCAATTTTATGAAAATTTTGACTGCCCATGTGCAAGTCTCTAACAATAAAATAAGCTTTTACTTACTAATACTTCCCATGCGCAGACGCATTAAATTTTCAAATTGCCTGTCTTATGCGATACAAAGACTGTAGATCCGTTTGTCTCGTGTGCACATGTGGCAAGCTTAAGGGTTCAAAATTGTCAGTAATTTCTCTTTACATAACCATGCCTACTGGAGATCGAGTTATCATGTAGTTCCAGTATGCGCTCCATTCCAGCACCCAGCCGATTCCCCTATCCCGCTACATACAACGTGCGTCCAAAAATATTGCGAACATGTCTGCATCTTTTAAACTAAGAGGCAACCATTCATACAGTTAACAACGACCTGATTGCTTCAAGGTTTGCACGCAACCCCGGTGCGCACCGATATTTTATATTGTGCGACATGAATGGCTGGCACATTGATTCGAACTGGAATATACTATTTTTCTTGATTTATTTGAAATGAACTGTGGGACTCACCTTTTTGAATTTTCAAGAGGCAGTATTTGGATCACAGAAGGAAACACGCTTATCATTGGCTATGACGTTTGTCATCCAGAGCCGCAAATCAAACGTGGAGAAGAAAAGGGAACACCGAAAAGTCCAAGTGTTCTGGGAGTTCGTCACTTAATTTCTTTATCTAAAAGAGCGCTTAGTGTTGAATGGCCGCTTTGTGACTTTCGCTGCCTATTTCAGATAAGTTTCAATGGGGCTTCTCACCCTGGAATGTTTATTGGCGATTACGCATTCCAAACATCAGGAGCCGAGCAGGTGCCGCGCTCCATTCTAAAGGAGCGGGCCAGATGGATTTTACGGCTTTTTCACGAAAGCCGCAAAAAGTTACCCGAAACTGTCATTATTATTCGCGACGGAGTGTCAGAAGGGCAGTACAGAATGGTAAAGTTCTTATTCGAAAATAATAAGTTATTCGACTTTTATCGCAGTCAGTGTATTATTTGGGGCCCTTGCCTATCAAATTTTTAGTAGCAATGGGTGGGTGCTAAAACAACGGAAATCCATTTGTGGGTGGTTGCAATGGTGTGACTGCTCTAAATGATTGACTGTTAGAGAAAAAGCATTTGTCCGTTTAAGGTGATGTGTGAAGAAGTTAATGCAATTCGAGACGGCTTGCGTGAATCCGCTTACGAAATAAATCGAACTAGTCCCTATAGACCGAAGATTGTCTGCATCATTGTGTGCAAGCGACATAGCAAGCGTTTTGCTATCAAAACAGGTTGGCATACTGCATGATTGCGCACATCGTGCAGCAGGATCTGTTTTGCTGGACTGTAGCTTAAATCATTTACAGATAAGGGGTTTGTCAACTGTGTCCCGCTCACGGTGATTGATCGGGATGTCACGCGTCCAGACACCACGGAATTTTTCATGCAGTCGCACAGGATCACAATGGTTTATTTTTTGGTTTCGCGCTACAAAATTCAGACAGGAAATGCCATATGAGACATATTTCTTCAAATACAAATTTTTGTATCGATACCGACAAACCACCAATTCCAAATTTCAGGGCACGGGAAAGATGCCAGCTTACACGGTGCTAATAAATGAAAAAGGGTTGGAAATGGATGAAGTGCAATCGTTGTTAATGGCTTTGTGCTATACGCACCAAATTATAACCCAGGCAGTTTCGATTCCTGAGCCAGTCTTTCAGGCGCATGAATGGGCAAAAAGAGGCAGCAACATCTTCAAAGCCAGAGCGTAAGTGTTACTGCGCCAGACTGAGTGCTTATTCTCTGGCCATGAAATTCATTGTTTTGATTTAATTGTACTGCTGTTTTAGAAGCGAAAGGAGGCCATTGCCGAGAACAGAGGATGGGGAATATGACTGGGAGAGAATCACGCGAGAACTTTGTCGTATGGGCACGCAACTGCAATCCACACGCTCCAACGCTTGAGCGTTACGCCTTTGTTCCTCTTTGTTGTGTTTATTTTGTTGCATTTTCTTCATTACTCTATGTTTGTGCCATTACACTCTTGTTTATGTCGTATCCTTCAATTCTGTGTTTGTACAAGACAGCAGACCTTTTTACATCTTTGTTTCTTTCTGTCTTTTTTTTTTTTTTTTTTTTTTTTTTTTTTTTTA